CCATTGAAAAACTATGCAGAGCGTCGAATCAAGATCTCGCGCACAACAAGAGAAATGACAAAGTAAAGGAAGACGAGCGTAGATGCTGCCATGAGCAAAAAATGTGTATATTCCTCAGCACTACCGGCTGGAGTTTACGATGATATCAAGCAAAATAAGTGAAGTTTTACATCAAATGAAGTTGGGGGAAACAGGCCGGGACCCTCAGGGACGGCATCTTCTTCCTCCTCAGGCTCAGGGGTCGGGGGCTCCGGGACTTCGCCCCTAGCCTTGGCTTCCTCGCGACGAGCGTCCCGCTCCAGCTTGCCCGGAGCTCGGACCAGCTCGGCATCAGTAGTGTGCTGGGTCAAGTTGAAGCTGGGACCATGCAGAGCGGTGAAGACGGGCAACGTGGCCTTTACCCCCTCATTATAGCCAATGACGAAAGAACTATCCCCAACGTCATAAAGGAACTTATCAGATAGGGGGCACTCTCCAAGATCCGGACCCCGAACTTGATACGATCTTTCGGCGCCTGCTTCTGCAGCTCGACTGAGAACACATCACCGAATGCGCCACCACAATACCTCTGGGCGGCAACCATAAAGGCCCCAGTATTCTCTTACCCAGAGGTATCAACGAGCCACTCAGGGGCCTCGTCCTTCAGAGCTGGGAGAACCGGAACCAGCTTGAACCCGGCCTTGTCAAAGGCAGCAACTCGCTCGGAGGAATCACGAGCCGCTTGCCGGGCGGCCTGCAACTTCTTCTGACTGCAGCACAGAAAGCCCGACCTGCAAATAAGGGACATGAATATGAGGTTGCAGATCTCCAAGTTGGAACCCGCCAAGCAATGTAAAATAAGATTTACCTGAAGAGCGGCGGATAAGGCAGCATTGGAGGCCTCCGAGGACGTGCAGACCGGCACCTCCACCCCGGTCAGAGAAGCAATTTCTTGCCAGATATCATGAGCCGGACGCCCTAGAGGAAGGACGGCCGTTTCTTGCTCTAAGGGGGCCGAAGAGCCGGCCTCACGCGGCCTCTTCGTCTTCCTGTCCTTAGGTTTTCCCCCCACCTGGGGAAGGACGGTCTGTAGGGGCGCCACCACTTCGGGGACGCCGGAATCAGCAGGGGATGCTTGGACCCCCTGTGCCATCACTGTGGCAATCAGATGCTGTTCCGCCTCGACCGTACGCCGCTCGGCCTGGGAGGCGGAGGAGTGGGAATCAGCGGCCTGAGCGACCTTAACCTTGGCAAGAGCGGCATCGGCAGCCGCGCCCTTGCCTTTCTTTGTCTTCAACATCTTCGCATGATTCATTTGAGCTTCGGTTGGGGGAGGACTTGAAGTAAGAAAATACAAGGAGTTAGCACCGGGCGGCATGACCCTTAAAAGTACTCACCATTGGAGGACAGGACCGCCCGGATCCCAGAGATGAACGAAAGGGGAAGGGGAGTCCTGAGATTCAGGCGGTACCTATCCCCGCTTTGGCGAGCATCTCAAAAGTAATGAGGTCTTCCACGTCCTGGATGCCGATATCCAACAACTTCTTGGCTTGCTCTTCCAGCTCGTCGGACAGTTTAGGAGAGCCAATTTTCGGGGGATACCCATTCCAGCGGATCAGCAGACGAGCGTCCGCGTAACGGACAAAGAAATACTTATTTTTCCATTCATGGATGGACGTCAGTGCCCCCTCGAAGAGCCTCCGCTTCGGACGAGCGGCTACGCTCAGATACCCATCTGAATTTTGGGGAGTGATCCGGAAGAAGAAGTGGAACAGTTCCAAAGTTGCAGTGACACCGACGCCCTTACAACGGACAAGGAACGAGGAAATGAAGCGATATGAGTTGGGCATGAACTGCGCTGGGGCCACTTCGAAGCAGCTAAAAAACTCAATGTAGAAAGGGTGAAGTGGGAATCGCAGCCCGGCCCTGATGGAATCAAAATGCACCATTACCATCCCCGGGCGTCTCCTCATCACATGGGTCGCGCCTCGGAGGCTGTAGCTAAGCGGATCGGGGAAGTAGATACGAAGCGCCTCAAGGGCCAGGTCCGAAAAGAATTGCTTGTGGCCGATCGCGTTCTTGATGGGGCAAATATGGCGCTCCACGTCAACCGTTAGGCCCCGATCGAACACCTCTACGTCAGACACATCAATGGCCTCGATGCCCGAATCATAGTCCTCTGGGCGCTCATTATCAGCGCCTACGTCCTCCACGACCGTCTGGATTGCACCACCTTGGGGGGTATCGTCCCCATCTCCCCCAGGGACCGCATCACCATGGGTTGCGCCGACCGAGGAGGTACTTGCAGTGGTAGAAGTCCCAAGCGCATTGTCCTGAACAATCAACCCCGCGACAGACGGGGAGCCGGAGCGGCCGGAGGTACTGGCGCCCTCGGAGGAGCGCGAACTAGCCTCAGAGCCCGAAGAAGAGCGCGAACTGGCCTCAGAACCAGAAGAGGAGCCGGAAGAGGAGCCCGAGCCAGAACTCGACGAAATTTCCATGGAAGTCATTGAAAGAATCAAGAAAAATAAAATAATACCTTAGAGCAACGGGATTGAGCCGAGGAGCTTGTAGACAAGAATATTGCAGAACAGCGAAATTCTGGAGCAAGAAAGCGAGAATCAGAAACCCTAAACATATGGAGAAACCCGATATTTATAAGGGAGGCACCGCCTCATAAACCCAATGGCTAAATGACACGTGGCGGAGAGCGTACCCCAGGGACACGCGACGCGCGTGGGAGAGGAATGTAATGATGACCTTGCCTCGAGAAGTGTACCATTTCTGCGGCAGCCGTCACCTCGATTTCTGAACCGCCATCAGACAAACGACGCCATGGAGAGGAGCGTCCACTCTCAGGAAGGCGGCAGGCATAAGTTCCATAAAACAAACGTCCGACTTCGGGGGACAATATACTTCCTTATGTCCTTCACACGCTCAGAACATCAGGAGTGAGGGACTTGTGTTAGGTTAATGGCCCAACACATGGGCCGACCCATTCAACCCAGCCAGGACGAACGTCCTCCTTGGCGGGACGACAGCCCACTCGGACGAACGTCCGAACAAAACAAATGGATCAATCCACAGACAAGCACAGCGGCGACGAACGTCGCCCCCGGAAGCCATTATCACTTGGGTTAATCCAACCTGTGTAACAAATCATCTAAGGGCCAGGATATGAACGGCCCGGTACTCTTTACGATATCGCCAAGAGCAGGCCCTTTATCCGGACTGGACGATCGTCCCCACGACTAGGCGGGAAAACCAGATTCTGGCGGGGAGCACATTTAATGCCGGAGATTTGGTGGTTGGGACACCAGCCACACACAAGCCTCCACGTCAGCATAGCCAGCTACCCATTGGTGGTATAAATAGCAGCATTTATTTCATTTTAAAGGGTTGACAACTTACTATTCTTAGCACTCTAACTATAGCATTCTTACTCGCAGCTCTTCTACTGCCCTGTAAGACGAACGACCGACGAGCCTTAGCAAAAGTATTGTATTAGGGAGTTATTAACTGATTAATAATACCTAATCCCTTACTCGCTATTTACTGCTTCTTGATCCATTGCACTTGTTAGTTGGGCTAGTTTATTCACATACACACTCCACTCGAAACTCTTGGGCTTGCGTGTTGGACCCGAGGGTTGAAGGAATAAACCTCAACAATTATATATAACAATTAAAAGAAACGAACACACACAATGAGTATTTAAGCACATATTAGAGAGTTCAAATGAGCTTTCTAATTTTTTTATGCTCATTTTGTAAGTTACGTATGTTCATCTGGTAATGCTTTTATGCTCATTTTAAAATGTCAATTCAATGCATATTTCAAAAATATCATATTACATTACAATCACATAAGAATTGATTATATACATGAGGGAAAAAATCATGATACTCAACTGCATGCTTCTAATACTTAATAGAGGATGTTTGATGCTCAATGAAAATGTCTTGATGTTCAACTAACTAAGTTTACGATTTTCATATAAAGGCTCATTTGTATGTTACTTATGCTCATTTTATACTGATGTTATGCTCATTTTAAAATGTCCTATCAATGCATATTTTTGAAGTATCATATTACATTAGATCGATTCACGTGCAAGTTGATTACAGATGCGGGAGCATAGGCTGATATTCATTGCATGTTCTAATACTCAATAGTGGAAGTTTGGTATTAATGAAAATGTTTTGATACTCAACTAAAAAACACTTATTGTTTTCATATCAATGCTCATTTTAAAAATGTCATATCAATACATATTTCAAAAGTACAATATTTCAAAAGTACGATATTACATTAGATTTTAAAAATGTCATATCAATACATATTACCGCGATGAGATTTTCACTGAAATTACGAAAATGCCACCGTTTTTTAGTTGTGATATCAACTTACTTGTAATAACACGGTGCTCATTATTAGACGCTTAATACTCATTAAAATTGGACTATTGCTCATTAACATACAGTACACTTCTGCTCATTTAGCAGAAACCGCAATTTCCACACTAATCACAAAAATGCCTCCGAATTATTTTGCTATTTTTCCCTTGGGCCTGTTACTGGGCCGTTTGTACGGTGCTCACCGTACAGCCGAGTGTATAATATACGTACTCATAAAAGTGGGTACACGTAATAAAATTGTTTTATTATTTGTTACGAGTACATACTACTACCTCCGTCCCAAATTGATTTACAAATTTGACTTTTCTTGGTCAAACAGTTTTGTTTTGTTCGCTTAATTAGGATGTCAATTTTTAATTATATTCTAATTTGGTGTTTACAACTTTGAAGAGATTTTAATGTAGTTTATGAATATGTAAATTTTAATTATTAAAAATTGAGTTAATTATCCGTAAAGAGGGTTGACTTTTATTATTGGTTGACCAAAAAATGTTGACTTTGCAAAACAAATTGGGACGGAGGGAGTAATAGTATATAATTAACACACAAAATACATAGTATCACTGGACAGTAAAGATTTTATCAAAACTGCGTCGTTTTATTCGGGCTTAAAACCTCAACTCAGCTGGACTACACTGCTACCATTTCAAAACCTCCGCCGCCGTTTCTTCTGTTGCTAACTGATAGGCGCCGTTGGATTCCCTTCCCCCGCCTTAGCGATTATCCCGGCCAGTCTATGCGCCATCGTCTCTAATCGCATTTCTGATCTCGGCGTTGGATCGTGTCTCCTGGTCTGACTTCGTCTGTCGGCCGTCAGTCCTTCACTGCCTTACTGGTTCAGCCCCGAAGATCCAGAGTTCAGATAGCATTTTGAAGTTGAGGACTTGAGGTGTTTTTTTTAATCTTCCCAATTTCAAAATTTCTGGTTTATGATAAAACTTTCTGGAAAGAAACAAAAAACATAATGGGATAGCTTTTTGAGAAAATAAGTGTGTAAATTGTAACGTGCGTGATATATAGGATGAATAGGAAAAGAAAATGCAGACCAAATTGAGCTATTAAAACTTTCTAAACACACAACGCTGATACTCTCAGTTTGGCTGGCTGGTTGATTTGCATCTGAAATTCTGGTTGGAGATTATCAGACTAAGATCTAGCATTATTATTTCCTAAATTGAAACGATGCTATGATGGATGGTGGAGCTGATTTTTCTGTTCAAGCCTTTGAGATTAGACCTCAACAGTACAACCTGACTATATAGTTTTATACTAAATCACATAGAATCCTTAAAATGCTACCATATGTAGAGTTAGTGGGAAATCTAAGGGCCTGTTTACTTTGTTTTCCAGGTTTCTAAATTTGTTTCTGTTTTCTGTTCTCCGGTTTTCTGTTTGCATTTTTCAAATCTGAACACATTCTGGAAGCATTAGCGCTTGACGCAGTCTAGCACCGCATATTTACTATTTGGAAAACACGGAAAAGTGACTTCTCCCACTTGAGAAGGAAATAAGAGGCATGTCTCATTTTTCAATTTTGGAGAATATACAGGTAAATACGTTTTTCAATTTTCTTTCCTCCAGTTTTCTAGTTTTTTTGGAAAATTAGAAAATATTCATGTTAGTAAATAGCCCCTAAAGCAATACGTTATCGTTTTCTAGCTTTATCTCCATCATTTGCAATGGAGCCAAAGACTCGCTACTTTTTGGCTTGAAAATATGATGGAATAAAGCAAAATGACTTACTAAACTGTCTGTGCTTCTTTGTTATGAAGTAGTAGTCAGTCCATACAACTCTTGATGCTATTTTCACCATGGGTCATCCGTAAACAGTCTCTCTGTGCTTTAGTACATGGGTAAGGATGCATACATCCTATCCCCTTACCTCACCGACTCACCGTAGGTGGGAGCCTTTGCTGCACTGAGATAATGATGATGATGATGAGTAAATGGCTCCTAAGTATTTCTTTGATGTTGGAAACATGAATGTGAACAAGGTTGATATGTGAGTGCAGTCCAATTTCAATTGAAAGAGAGGTTTTAGTGTACTATATATTAGGCGTCCTATGTTCAGAAATCATGGAGTTACCTGACCTTGATTTAGGAGTTCCAGACAATATTCTGACCACATACAAAGGAAGAGAGGGATGAAAAAGAGATAATAGTGGAAGCTAAATCGAGTCCACGAATAGCTATAAATTGAAAGGATAACCGATAGATCACACCCGCTGAACAATATTTAGCACATAACTGATCAACTCTTTAATATTCCGTGATTTTGTTTGTTTGTTTGTTTGTTTTATTGAATCCACTTTTATCGTTAGAAACTATCATATTTTTCATATAACACTTTGCACTTTTTCCTTTTTTTTTCTTATTCTTTTTTGATTTTCTTACTTTTTCAACTTTATTTACTATTATATCTTACTCCCGTCTCATTGTCTTTGTCACAAATGAAGCTCTGAACCATTGCCTTGATAGATTAGAATTTCGGATGTGAGACATCTTCCTAGATCTGTTATGCTAAGATTGGTACGTTATACTTGTATTAGTATCAAACGAGAGCAAATAACATTTGTGGCTTTATTACCTCAACCATGCTTGAGTCGTCCTGTTTTCCCAGTGAATGGATTAGATTGTGTGGTGAGAGCACATACACTTGTGGCCTACTGGCCTTCAATACTAAAAAATCCATTAGGCATTATTACCTCAACAGTACTTGAGTCATGTTATATTCCCAAGTGTAATGGATTAGATTGTGTGTCAGAGTTTTGAGAATTATATGTGAAAATGTGATTCAATTAGCATAGATTGTGTCTTGTGCTTACTGTTTGGTGAATTGTGGTTTTGTTTAATAAAAAGCTTTGGAGAGGATTTTCATATGGAAATCTTTGGTTGCTGAGCGTCTTGCAAACCTAGTGTCGAGCAACAGAGGATGAGCTGTTTTCTGTGCTTATAGCAGTTTAATGCCACAATCTAATATTATCTCCGGTCCTAAATAAACTTCACACTCACTATTCATTGGTCAACTTAAATCACTCTTAATCAGGCTTTGTAGCGGTTTTAATGTAGTTTCTGAATATGTAAATTTTATTTACTAAAAATAATCCGAGTGTGAACAATGATCAAGTTGCTTTATCGTCAGTCAAGCATCGTAAACCGTACAAGAAGTTTATTTAGGACCGGAGGGAGTATGTAAACCTACATATGCTGCTTGGGGTTTAGTTTGTGTAATGGTAGATAACTTATTATGCTTGTAGTTGACAAACATGACTAATGACTTCGACAGACAAATTTATTTTTCTAGGTGCAATGGGTTTTGCTACAAACTGTGGAAGGACAGTCACCATTTAGTTTCTGGGTGTGGGGTGGAAGAAGAGACAGCTCATTGATAAGCAGATGCACCAAAACGGGTACATGCTCTTTTTCAACTTGCATGAACATAATTGTGTACATATGCGTGTGTATGTTTTTGTGTTGGTGGTGTTCCATGTTTGTCTCATAGCTACATTATGTCATATCCTAGTTATGGCCTCTATTTGTAGGTCTGGTGCATTATCACAACTGGTCATGGTGTGAATGACCGTGCAACATGCGTTTCTTTGAATCCATTTTAGGTACTTATCTCTCAACTAATTGTCCATTCGTAGAAGAGTTGGTTACGGACCTTATCAAATACGAAGTAGTTGCCATGACACAATATGGTTGGCTTTCCGATTGGGTTACTATCGCTCGGAGTGGGCAGTGTTATTTTTATTTTTTCCCATTACTGCTTTTATCTTCTTTAACTTTATTTAGCTCTCTAAGTTTCTCCCTTCATTAGTGTTGTACCTTCTTTTTGATGTACTTTTTAATAAAACTCGGTAAAAGTTTCCCAGCTCTTATCCCACCGGCTTTGGTTGTTTTCTGGGTTAAGAAAAACAAAGTATTTGAATCAATATTGAAATTCTTGTGGAGTATGGCTGTACAAAATTCATACTCCATCCATCCCGAATTATAAGATACTTTTCGGTTTACGATGTCTGGCCGACGATAAAGCAAACAGATCCCTGTCTGCACTCAAATTTTTTTAGAAAAAAAATTACATATTCAGAAACTACATTACAACCGCTACAAAACCTGCAAAAAATAATTCAAATTTCATAAATTTTGATATATAAAGTAAGAGATTAAGAGTAATTTGTGTTGACCAAGTGAATAGTAAAGACATCTTATAAAATGGGACAGAGGGAGTATATGTAATCTTTCCTTTATGCAAAGGCATCAAATGGAACCAGACTTCAATGAGATCAAACCTGTTTTTCCTTTACTACCATAGGCCGGAATTAGAATTTCTAACCAAAATCATCTTATTCCTTTTCTCGTGGCCTCTTCACCTCTATAACAAGGTCCAGACTCCAGACCATGGACTAGATCTTGCAGTTACATCTTAACGACTTGGTGTCAACTTTGGGAATGATGGACGCCTGGGCAGACACTGCAGCAAAATTAAAGATGCACTCTCCTAAGCAATATAACCTTTCAATCAACACCTAAATACTCAAGAAACTTGACAAATAGCTGTTGGTCATAAAGCAGAATTGAACTAAGGCTCAGAGCAAACACTGGGGCAGTTGTGCGGACTACAACTAGTTTCCCTGCATCATTGCAGGAGAACACAACCTTCTTTTACTGTTAGTTTCAGCTGAATTTCCCAACTTCTGACAGCACAGGGGACCCACTTAGTTGGATATTGGATAAAACAATGAATTTTTATTTGAGTATCAATGCATCGTGGCTACTTCCCAAGAATTTGGGCTGCCTCTCTCTTTATCAGGTGATGCTCAATTATGGATAGATCAATGGGAGAAAGCAGCACTGATTTGGACTTGTAAACTTTTGTGCATCGTCATGTTGCTAGCTTTAAGCTACCACAAAGCTCGAATTTGGAGGGTAATTTGGCAAATTTGAAATACACTGATATCATTCAAGAATATATTTTAGGGTACTCATCGTCGATTGTTGGCTTGAACAACAGACATCTAAACTCGTCTCAAATTCCAACCTTTTTATGACTGGATCTTCTGAATGCCATCTCTGGTTCATATCAGTTGGACATGTAAATAATGTCCGGTATAAGCGGTTCCATCATCATGAAATCATGCATCCGAGAGGCACACACAACTTCAGGAATCATGTGCATTGGGCGTGTAACTCTAAAAATAGAATGACACCTCATCAAGCTTGTCATGGCGTATGGCGATTGCCATGGAAGAAAGGCATTTTCTATGGTGATGACGCACATGCGAATGACACATATGGCGCTATGGCGACAACCACTATTTCAGGGCGATGACGCATATGTCGCCCGCCATATCTCGCCATTGACAACTATGTACCCCCATCCCTAAGGGTCTCCCAGAACAGTCAGTGAAGATGTAAATTGAGTTTTGATCATAGACAAGTAGAGAGAGTGAGGTTCCATCTTAGGTCTTTGTGTGAAGTTAAACCCGAGACCTTTCCCTTATTGCACCCTCTTCCTTCCAGCTAAGCTATACCCCTGACCTAGGCTCGGAACTCTAATTATAGGCATAGGATCACCTGAGGCTTTGATTGATGTTGGCCAATAATGAGAGAGTTGTGATACTAGGAGGATTTATGGGAGTTCTGTTAGCAATGGTGTATACATAAATAACATATTTCTTCCACTTTCCAGTTTGCTAATGGGATTTGATTTTAGTGCATCTATGGCTCACAATATCGGGCGTGGTCAAGGCTATGGTTACTGTTCTTGCTTTTTGCCATGCTCAAGATGTCGTCATAGAGGGGGAGAAACCATGAGATGAAGAAGAAGTTGTGATTTGGAGTGCTTTTTGTTTGTGGCCTATGATGAAAGAATGGAAGAACGGCATAATAATGTTAAAGTTTGTTTCAATTTAATCATTTGATGCCCTTGAATGAAGCAAGGTTTTTGCAGGGAGGACTTGGACGAAGAAGCATTTCTCCCACCTGCTTACTCTCAAGTAGGTCAGAGACGAGCCACTCCACAAATTTTTGGAGTGGTAGAGAGTTGAGACTACCCAAGTCTACGGTGCAAACAACAATACTCATCTGGCCATTTACAGGGGGTTATCCGGGTCGGCGGCTTCGCCACGAGCCTGATAACGGACCCCCGAAGGATTACCAGAAGACCCTTCAGAAGGGCAACAGATATGCTGAGACCAGGGAACTCCATACTCAAAATAGGACCCCAGAGAATGCCCCAAACCCCCATACAGGAGCAGCAATAGGAAAACCCCCAGCCCAACAAGGATGGGAAGCAGATGCCGACAAGAATTGAGGCCGGGCGGTTACAAAGGAAAACACCATTGTCTGGGCTAAAATATGCCCCCTGAGGTCATGACCCCTCTCATCCATTTCGTCGACTACGCTGAGCGGGAGGGTCCGGTGGCTCGTGACCCGAGGGTCAATAAAGTTCAAGCCCTAGATAACGGTGGTCCTTACAGCCAGTTTCACAGGTACAACGGCCATGCCACAGAGGACTGCTGCAACCTCAAAAGGAAACTGAGAAATTGATTAGTCGAGGCTACCCGCACCAATTTGTTAGGAAGCTCGAGGCTGGTTAGAAGCAGTCCTATGAGCACAAGAGAAAGCCCATGACCAAAGGAAGAAGAGGATTGGCTTGTTCTCCAACGATGATTATGCCGAGGATGAAAGGCGCAACTAGCAGCAACTCGCTTGATGGCTAAGCTCTTCAAGAGCGTCCTCGGTAAGACCGTGATAACTTATGTTGACGATATGATTCTCAAGAGTAAATAAGCCAGCACACATGTTGAGAATCTTGAAGAAATATTCAAGATAATGGATACACGATAAGTCAACGAGGAATCTAGTCCAACCCTGAAAAAGTGCAAGCAATCAGTTAGATGTAGCCTCCTCGCAAAGTGAAAGAGATCTAAAGGCTCACGGGCAAATTGGCGGTGCTAAACCGGTTTCTTTCAAAATTGGCCGAGGTGTGCTCTGCCATTCTTTTAAATCATAAAGAAGTCCGCAAAATTTCGTGGACAACGGAGTGCGAGCAAACCTTTGACGACCTCAAAAGCTACCTTATATTTCCTCCGGTTCTTTCCAAGCCGGAGAAAGACGAATTTCTACCTCGACGCAAGTCATGGGGGCCGTGAGTTCGGTCCTCATCAGAGAAGACAACGGTGCTCAAACTCAACTTAAAAAAAGTGCGCCGACTAGGCGCAAGGCGCACCTAGTTGCTAGAAAAATGCAACAAGAATCCTCGCTTCTAGCTGCTTTTTGCGCTTCAAGAGTCGGTCGCCTTATGCTCTTCTAGGATTTTGCTAACTAATTTTTTGCCTTTTGCGCTTCAAGAGTCGGTCGCTATCTATGCTTCAAGGATTTTGCTAACTAATTTTTTGAGTTTAGCTGACTCTTGCTTGGACCTAAAATTTTCATAGGTAGATTATATATTAGTCGTGTACATCCTTAGTCTTGAAACTCCATCAGAACTCCAACTCTCTTTTAATATGATAATATGATAATAATGTCACATATCACTCTTCCACCCCTTTCTTTTTTACACAAAGTCACTAATATCATATAACTGGTACATTTTTTTTCCTTCTCTTCTTCTTCATATGCTTGCATATCTTTCTTTCTTCTTATATTAATCTCTCTTCTTCTCACGATCTTTTCTGCTTCTTAATCTTTTTGTATTTTCCCTATGCTTTTATGTGCCCTTTTGTCCTCCCCTTTTCAAAGTGGCCTTTTTTCTAGTCTTATCGTTCTAGTTCTAAACCTTGTTTGGTTTATACATAATTAATAGGGAGTATTTAATTAGAATGTTATAATGTTTGATGTTTAGTGCAAATTGTTTGTTGTACTCGACTATTTATTTTGTTTCTCCTTTTGATCTTTATTACGTTTGTTAACATTGTTCCATGATTTATGGATTTTTAGGTCATTTAATATTAAGTTCTAGTTAGAGGGTATAAAGTAGCATTAATATAGTTCAGGTGTAGGGCCACTTTAGGTCTGTAGGGGTATCAATGAGGCGTGCGCCTTCGCGTTGCGCCTCGGCTAAATTCAATGAAAACATCTCCTGCCGCCTTGCGCCTTTCAAAACCAAGGCTCAAAAGTCTGCCTACTACATCAGCAAAACTTCGTGCGATGCCAAGCTCCGGTACTCTGGAATAGAGAAAACAGTTCTAGCGGTGGTGTGGACTGTGAAGAGACTTGCCCATTATTTTCAGGGTCACACAATTCACATACTTACACACCAACCGTTGGGACCCTCATAAGAAGCCCTAAGAGCTTTGCTAAGATGATAAATGAGTTGTTTTCCTTACCCAATATCAAATCAAGATCAAACCAAGACCATCCATTAAAGGTCAGGCTCTCGCAGACTTCATTGCAGAGTGTACGGCCCAGGACTTCATTGGCGAGGATGGTTGGTGGACACTTCTCACATACTGCTCTTCAGCCTCAAAAGCGTGTGGGGGAGATGTACTCATCATCCCCGATGGCTTCTGAGCTTATTATGCAATCATGTTTCACTTCAAGGCCTCCAACAATGAGGTTGAATATGAAGTCTTACTTTCCAGCCTACGCCTTGAAGCTAATATGAAAGCGGGAAACCTGTGAATCAAATGTGATTCAAAGCTCGTGGTGGGGCAAATCAACGACACTTCGAAGCCAATGAGAACAAAGGTACAAAACGAAGCACTACAAAGCAGTTGCACTGGGAACTTGAAAACCTATATCTTTGAAGGTAAGCTGCCGGTGAACGGGGTTGAGGCCGAATTTGTGAATCTCCGAGCTTCAAGTTACACACTCCAACAGGACAAGCTCTACAAACGATCTTACAATGAGATTCTTCTATGATGTTTACACAACAATGAGGCCAAACTGGCCTTGGAAGAAGTGCATGCAGGCGTATGCTCGGTCCATCAAGGCCCACATACAATGTCCATAAAGCTCCTACTCCAGGGTACTTTTGGCCGATCATGACTAAGGGTTATGTGAACATGACACACACTTGCCGTGTATGTAATCAATTCCAAAGAGCCCCAGGACGCTCTGCAGTGAATTCTGCTCCCTTCAGTACAATCCACTTCTCTTGTTGGGGGATTGACCTCATCGGCAACTACCACGAGGCACGTACAACAACAGGTAGATAATAATGACTATGGCTATGGATAGCATCACTGAAACCCAATGCAAGAAGTTCCTTACCAAGAAAATACTTGCTCATTTTGGGGTCCCGCAACAAGTAATAATAGATAATGACACCTAGTTCGAGGCTAAAAAATTTAAAGACATGTTGACCAGTTAAGGGATTAGACACAACACAACTTCAATTGCATATCTACAGTGCAATGGCCAAGTGGAGAATGTCAATCGAACCACCCTCGAAGGCCTGAAAAAGAAGCTCACTGACAAGGACGGAGAATGGGTCAAAGAGCTCCCAAATATTTTGTGGGCTTATAGAACAACCCCAAGCAACGGGTGAAACATGCTTCTCTCTTTGTTATGGCTTTGAGGCCTAAGCTTCAACTGAGGTCTCACTGCTAACATAGTGCATCAACGCTCAAGAGCTGGAGCATAACAAGCAGAACTACTGACCTCAACCTCATCGATGAATGAAAGGAAGATGCTCTCATTCGAGCAGAAAACTACCGATGTCAGGCCAAAGGTTATTACGATGTCCAAGTAAGGGGGAGACTTTCAGGTCGGCAACTATATGCTCAAAGAAAGCACTACCAGACATGGTCAAAATGGCCAAAAAGGCTCATACATAGTCATTGCCGTGGTATAGTTCGGAACCTATAAGCTTTGCACCCCAAAGGGCATGGAAGTTCCCAGATTATGGAACATTTATCACTTGGTGAGATATTAACTATGAACAGACTGTCAGAGGAGACATTTAACAATCGTCCAACAAAGAACATACCTTTTGATCACATTCGAAATCCGAATCCATGTAGCAACCTTACCTTTATCATGTCAGCCATTTTAGCCTCGCGACAACAGGCTCTTCAGATTTCCATCATTTGCAATGGAGCCAAAGATTCAATATTTTTTGGCTTGAGAATATGATGGAATAAAGCAAAATGGCTGACTAAACTGTCTGCGTTTCTTTGTTATGAAGCAGTAGTCAGTCTATGCAATTTTGGACGCGATTTTCACTATGGGTCATCCGGAAACAATCTCTCTGTGCTTTAGTACAGGGGTAAGACTATGTACATCCGACCCCCCTTACCCCACCGTAGGTGGGAGCCTTTGCGGCACTGGGGTAAATGAAAATGACAACAGGCTCTTCAGCCGCAAAATATGAGGCGAATAAATAAGCACTCACAACGCCAAAACAACATGAGGCAATTGCGTAGGTCTTAATGAAAACATGTTACTTAGTCAAAATAAACCGAGGCCACTCATAAGCCCTCGCACAAATAGGCTCTTCAACACAAACAATTTCTGAGGCCATTGCGTAAACCCTCAAATGAGCAGCTACTTAGCTCAACAAAACAAGGAAATTGCATAAGCCCTTGCAACAAATTTTGAGGCAGCTGCGTAAGCCCTCAAACAAGAAGCTATTCAGTTTAACAAATATCAAGGCCATTGTGTATGCCCTTGAACACACAACTTTTCAGCGCACCAATAGAGGTAACTACATAAGTCTCACACATAGGGAAACACAACCTCTTATGGATCCTAAAATACATTTCCTCTTTGCATTAACTGCAGAATGAAATGAGGCTAATTCAAAGGGTTGAGCTACTTGACGACTCACTCCTAGAGGAGCTACTCTTATCGTTTAACTAATATGCTTTTCAGCAAGAGGTACCTATCTTGTGGGCGTTAAAAGGAATCTCTCTAATGCAGTGGTACTTAACACAATGCTAGACTACTCGACGATCCTGACCTTGAGGAGCCATCTTTGTCACTTAACTAATATGCTTTTTAGCAAGAGGTTACAACCTCGTTGGTGGCTTATATGATACTTTTTAAAGTAAATATACTTATATGATACTTTTTTGGGAAAAGTACGGAAAAGATAACTGAGGTTGGGCCCTGTTTTCTGATAGGGTCATGTGTTTCATTTATTACCAAAGTGGTTTATTATCACAAGAGAGTCCTGGCGCTTGACACCGTTACAAATCGCCGGAGGAAGACGATGAACAGTAACTCCGATTTTGAAAAGTGCTTAAAAAATTAAAAGAAAAATATCAGAAGGTGCGCCTCAACAAGACGATAGCTAGGCCATCTTTCTTTCTTTTTTGTTTCCAGCCACCCTTGTCACCCGAAAATCCATCGGAAAAGTGATATTAGCGAAAGGTGGTCTGAAGGTCATCGTGACGAGGTGCACCTTCCGATATGTTTCTTTCAATTTTCTTGGCACTTTTGAAAATCGGAGTTACGGTTCATCGTCTCCCTCAGGCATTTTTAATGGCGTGACCCTCTTGTGATAACGCAGTTCAAACACATGAACCACTTTGATAAAAATGAAACACATGACCCTATCTGAAAACGGGCCCAACCACAAAGTACCTTTTCCATACTTTTCCCTACTTTTTTTAGTAGAAAGATATATATGACCTTTTCTCTACTTATTTTACTTTCTATCTTTCTCTATTCCTGAGATGCATAACCCATCACCAACTATTACTTAGTTCTAAACCAACTATACTATGGATAGATAGTTAATTAAAGGGAACCCTTAATTAAAAGAGGTAAGCGGAGAATAGGAACTCCTATGCTACATGCACAATCCCACCAATCGTTTTTCACAAAATTTCCTGCCTACAAAAGAGTCCATAAAAATCCCTGCTCTTTTGTTTTAGATAATAAGTCACGCATATCGACTTCTTTTAATTTTTTGCTCTGTTTTTTTTCAGAAGTTCTCAAAACTCTTTTGGCGTTCATATAAAAAGGACAGGTGCAACCTCTGATTGGTGCTAACTTAAAATGGAGAAAGGATTTAAGACAACTGTAATGTGCACAAAAAACTTGGTGCGCAATTGCATCTGAATCCATGTTTTATGGTTCTGTCTACAATTCTTTTGTCATGTGGACCTTTAAAGGTCAGTGCAATTTTTGAAGGATTCAAAGCTGCGCGAAGAAATTTGCACTGTTAACAATGGCAATCACTCGAAGAACCAGAAGAGCTTACAAAGCTATGAAAGCTATTGGAATATCCAGAGAAAGGGTGAAACCTGTACTGAATAATCTTTTGAAAATATATAAGAATAACTGGAGATACATTGAAGAAGAGAATTATAGAGCCCTTGCTGATGCGGTCTTTGAGAGTGCGGAACCAAAGGTTTCTTTGTTGTCTTTTTCTATCCACTTGTTTCCGACTCGTAGCCATAGATTTTCATTTACCCTGCTTTTATTAAGCATTGACTTTGAGAATAGTGAAGTAATAAGCTTGTTTCATAAATTCCTTTTTGATGATTTTTCAAATATATTACTTTTTTTTAATTTTATTTATTTATTATATATATTTATATATTTATTTATCCATCCACCCCACCCACCCACCCACCCCCACCCCACCCACCCACCTAATTGTTTACTCCCTCCGTCCCAAAAACAACTTCATAGTTTGACAATCACATAAATTAAGAAAGTAAATTTGACTTTACTGTTGGGTGCATTGTTTTGCACGGTTCAAACACTGTTTGACACTGTTTGAACACTGTTTGGCACTGTTTTGATGTAGATAATTTGCCAAATAAGGAAAGTATTGAAGTGTGAAGTTAATTTTGGGACATCCATTTAAGGAAAGTGGGAAGTTGTTTTTGGGATGGAGGGAGTATGTATCTAGATTGTACTTTATGCTTTTTCCCAAACGTGTGTTATGTCCTCCTTACCAGGTTGCGAGGAGCGGAGAGCCTGAGAATAGTGAAGTAATCAGACCGTTTTCTAATTTGTTTCAATTTGCATTTTTCCAACATGTTACTTTTGTTGTTCTCCTATTGATTCCACCTTTCTTTTTTTGTCCTCATAGCTCTTTTACTTTTGTAGCAAGGAGCTTTGGAAGGAGAAATCTTACCCAAGGACCTTGAGCAACCACATAAGAGACTGTGGTCACAATATCAAGGAGATCAGCCATCTTCTTGTTACAACCCTAGCTCCACCTTGGCTGAAGCATCCCAAAAAAATGGTAAAGTGAAGGATGATGCTGTGTCTATTGATTGTTGCACCAATGAGTCCCCCGACATGATGGGTTCTCTCCAGTCCAGTCATGTAGAGATGGCTGTCGGAACATCTTCTCACTCATTACAGATGCATGATAAAAACAAAGGAAAGGAACCCATTTCACCAGAATCTTTGGTGATGCTAAATAAATCTGTTTCGACTCAGCCTGCTAGCCTTGAGAAAGCCTCCTTTAATTCCTTGAAGAAGGCTGGACGAGAGTCTAGCTCTCATCCAATGCGACTTAGAAGTAAACAGAGAGAACCTCAAGATCTTAAATCTGCATCCCGGAAAAAGAAGTCTAGGCTAAACCTTAAAGACACAAAGAATCAAACTTGTCCTGTTCAATCTGCTCAACAGAATAATTTTGGTGCTCATGTTTCTAGAGAGAATAAGGATGTTACATTAATTGATGATATGCCTGACTTCAAGGTTCCCATTGCTGTTTTCCCTCTTGGTAAGTATTAGGCTCAGTGTCATTTGCGTATTTTTCTTTGTTGATGATGGGATGCTAAGTTCTTGGGAAAAAATCTAATATGATAATTTCTTGCTAAGCAGAGTCATCAGATGATGACGGTGTTCAATGTGGAAATGGACATGTAGGTTCCAATGGGACCAAGGATGAAATTATCTGTATTGCATCATCATCCAGTGATATGAAAACCAATCAGAAGCTGGTGAGGATAAATAAAAACCTTCAAGTTGCATCATCTCTGTTTGGGAAGTGAAAATATCTAATTAATTGTGACTCTGCGCTTGGAAGACTCTCCCTATGGGGAAATTAAAATCCCAAAAATCTTAAAAAATTGCAACTCTACCCTTGGAAGACATAGAGTTAGAGAGGTTTGTTTAATTCTTTATTGTGGGGGGGGGGGGGGGGGAGCTCGGACAGACAAGTCCACTTCTGGCTTGAGATTTTATAAAAAAATGGGAATGACATAATAGGTGATCATGTAACATATTAATCACACTTTATATGATTTCAGAAACATTCTATTTAGAAACATTCTTTTTATCCCATAAAAGCCTTTCCCTCCAAAGCATTCCAAAACCCTCCATCCGAACTGACCCTTACTTTTATTTGCATAGTCTAGAAGATGTACTTATCTTGGGCAGAGAAAAAGTTTCTGATCACAAACTGATGACTCAAAACTTTATGTGATGAAACTGGTGAAGGGGATAAAAACAAAAGGCATGACAACATCTACTAATCTGTCGAAAGCATTTTCTTTGAAAGAAGCTTTCCATTCTAGATGCAGGCCTCTTGATTCTGAAGATGAATATATTGAATCTCTTGAATTGACATAATAGGTGATCATGTAACATATTAATCACACTTTATATGATTTCAGAAACATTCTATTTAGAAACATTCTTTTTATCCCATAAAAGCCTTTCCCTCCAAAGCATTCCAAAACCCTCCATCCGAACTGACCCTTACTTTTATTTGCATAGTCTAGAAGATGTACTTATCTTGGGCAGAGAAAAAGTTTCTGATCACAAACTGATGACTCAAAACTTTATGTGATGAAACTGGTGAAGGGGATAAAAACAAAAGGCATGACAACATCTACTAATCTGTCGAAAGCATTTTCTTTGAAAGAAGCTTTCCATTCTAGATGCAGGCCTCTTGATTCTGAAGATGAATATATTGAATCTCTTGATGCTGCTTTTGTTCTTGCCAGGTACAGCAACTTTCTCCTCACAGTGATGGTGCAAACAACGAATCAAGATCTAAAGAAGATGCATCTCAGAATAACCACTGTATAGCTGCTGAAAGTGGTCATAGTGTGAGTGAACATTTGAATTCTCCAAGTCCAGAGGCTGTTGAATCATTCCAGCTATCTCCGGATAATACCAGCACTCTATATAAGGTCATTGACATTACCAAGAAGCAAGAAAGAATCACAATTTCATTAGTCAATGAAGTTAATAGCAAACGCCCACCGTCTTTCCACTACATTTCTGAAAGTACAGTATTCCGGAATGCACATATAAACATTTCTCTGGATCGTATCGGGGACGATCATAGCTGTTCGACTTGTTCTGGTGACTGTTTGTCATTGACCATACCATGTGCTTGTTCATACGAAACTGGGGGTGAGTTTGCATACACAAGGGAAGGTGTCGTGAAAGAGCAGTTTCTGAAAGAGTGTATTTCTATGAACCGTGACCCAGAAAAACACTGTCAGTACTATTGCACTGTGTGCCCACATGAAAGATCTAAAAGCACTGTAGATCCTTGCAAAGGTCATCTTGTGAGGAATTTCATCAAAGAGTGCTGGAGAAAGTGTGGATGTGATATGCATTGTGGCAATCGCGTAGTACAACGAGGAATTACTCGAATGTTACAGGTAAGCATTTGCAAACGTGTCACATTTTTTATAACCATGGAACTATGTGAGTCCACCTGTATTGTTCATCATTGCATCATGTATTCATGTCGCTGAGTAAAGTGCCCTAATACATCTTAGAGAGTTGTGCTTTAACTTTTCCAATTACTTGCATCCGCTTCTATCATTTCCATCATTTGCAATGGAGCCAAAGATTCACTATTTTTTTACTTGGGAATATGATGGAATAAAACAAAATGGCTCACTAAACTGGCAGCGCTTCTTTGTTATGAAGCAACAGTCAATTTATGCAATTTTGACCCGATTTTCACCATAGGTCATCTGGAACAGTCTCTCTGTGCTAAACAGGGGTAAGGCTGCGTACATCTGACCCCCCTTACCTCACCATAGGTGGGACCGTGGGAGCCTTTGTGGCACTGGGGTAATGATGATAATGATGATGATTACTTGCATCCGTTTTTACTCAATTATATATTTTCAGGTGTTTATGACTCCTGGAGGGAAAGGATGGGGCCTGCGTACTCTAGAGGACCTGCCAAAAGGTGCATTTGTTTGTGAATATGTGGGAGAAGTTCTTACAAATTCTGAACTATTTGATCGTATTTCGCGGAGCTCTGGTAAGGAGAAACACTTTTATCCTGTGCTGCTTGATGCTGATTGGGCAGCAGAAGGTGTGTTGAAGGATGAAGAAGCTTTGTGTTTGGATGCTACTTACTATGGGAATGTGGCAAGGTTTATAAACCACAGGTGAAGTTTATATACAAGGGACTGGATGTCTGGTCAGGTCATTAGATTATTCGGTGATGTGTTGCATGCATTTGTGTGGCACTGTGGCCGTGCATATCATGTTTTAATTTACTTGCAACTTTGTTGGTGCTTTGCAGATGTTTTGATTCAAATTTGGTTGAGATACCAGTTGAGATAGAGACTCCGGATCACCATTACTACCATGTAGGGATTCTTATCCTCTATGGTTCAGCTTACTTCATTTCATGAGCCATGGTTGTGGTTGCTTCATACAGCTTATCCTCTTGTACACTGGTTTTGCTACTTTCATACAGCTTGCCTTTTTCACTACAAGAGAAGTGAAAGCCAGGGAAGAGCTGACATGGGTGAGTTGAAGCTGTGCAAAATTTATATTTACTTCTTTATATATGCATAGACTATTGAAGCAGCTACTTATTTGAAGTAATTGGTATAGGCAGCAAAAACGGTGGGTACTCCATACCCTCTATTTGTTCATGTGAAGTGTTCAGAATTTTTTCCTGTAAAAAGAGAAGCTCATTGAGTTTACAAAAGATGAAGTGCTTGTTTCAATGCCATGATATGAGTTGATTGAGTGTATCCTTTATCTCAACCCATTACCTGTTTCATGATACTTTTCATGGATGTGGAAAAACTTATGTCAGTGACAGTGGGAATTTCACTAAGAACTTCTCCGTGTTAAGGTTGCAACTGGAAGGGCATCCGCCATAAAATTGGGGTTTCGCTCACTTTTTCCTCCAAGTTGGAGTTTGCACCCGTTGTTTTAAAGCATTAATTATTATTTGCACACCAAGTTTGATAATTTGCGCTCCATTTTATCTTCTAAATTGGAGTCTGCACCCTATTATTAATGGTCTTTTCTAACTTTGAGGTGCAGATATTAATGATTTCAAAGTGTGTTGGAAATTCAATTTTAGATGAAAAAGCAATGTCCAAACTGTAATCCACCCCTCCTGAATGATGAATTCAGGGTGTTGGTTAATTTTTGCCAAGTAATTGTCATTATTAATATCTTGTTGCTGTGCCAATATGGTTGTACTTGAGGGCGTGGCGATGATGATGAAACCAGTTTCCAGAGTTGACTTAATCCCCCCCCTCTAATATAGATGTATATCATGTTTTCAGGACTATGGAATTGATTTTGGCGATCACAAGCATCCAATCAAAGCTTTTAAATGCCAGTGTGGGAGTACTCTCTGCAGAAACATCAAGCGTCTCAGTAAGTACCACGAGAAGGATAATATATTCACATTCCATTTAGTTGCCTCAATACTACACATTACTACCGTCTGCCTCAGTCTTTGTTTGATCTAGCTTTATCAACTGAGTTGTTGGCCATTCTTTAGTAACCTTCATGGTGTGACATGTTTTAGGGCCCAAAAGGGTTAGGAGATGGACCAAACCACCAAGGAAATGAAAATGCATTGATGATGATCCACATCGCTCTTGAATACGGTGAAGATGTTGGAACCATCTACAGTTGTGTCATGCATCTTTGCTGTGGGCTATTAATGATTCGCTCTTTTTTCTTGGCGCTGATACATTGCAATTTTTTAGTGTTGTAGCACCCCCTGTATTTTAATAATCAATTCATCCTAACCCCGGATTTTATGAATAGAAATGTTGTTGAGAGTTTTAGTGCCCATAGGATTTAGGGATGTTGTCCACTAGTCATATATATCTATATATAATATACAAAAACGCAATAGTTTTCAACCATTTGGGCGGGAACTAGCAGCGGCTATGGCCTAAATTTGTTTAATAAATTTACTAATAAATTGATTCATTAATTGTGATATGATTAAAAAGCACATTAAATGATGTTCCTAATACAATGTTCGGTCTTCTCCATATCTTTAAATTCCAAATGTTTGTCACATACTTCGTATATAAGATTGTTGGTGTTGGTTTCCGGTTGGCACTTGGCAGAAGCTACGAAATAGCATTGCACTGATTTTGCAAGGGTGATAGAAATAACTCAAAACTGACAGTACTTTGCTACTCAACTTTCGGAGACCATTGGGCTTGTTTGGGGCTTGCGGCCTGATTTGTTTAATAAATAGAATAGGCTTGGGCTTTTAAAAAACTCCATTTGTCCAAATAGGTCAAGTCGGCCTGATACGAACATTGTTCTATGTATATATAGAGAGAGAGAGAGAGCAGATCACATCAGATTGGCTTGATAGCGGTTCCCATCGGACTGAGGCCATTTGGGGCCTTCCCGGTGGATTTTTTGATGATTTTTTAGCATGTTCTTCATTATGTCTAGTTTATGTCCACCAAATTTCAACTAAAAATTCAATTAGTAATATATATATAAGTTTCAAAAAATTTCTAGTTTATGTCAACTCAAATTTCAACATGTTCTTCAAAAAATTTCATCGAAAAATTCGATCGAGAAGTGCCCGAAATGCCCTCGGCCGGACAGCGGTTCCTGTCAGGCTGGCTGGACAAGAACGAGACTATATATGTGTGTGTGTGTAGTGATATTTATATGATTCATTTTTACATTATGAGTATTGAACTATAAAAAGTTGGGCACAAAAGTATTTTTATTGAGTGTATTATAAATTAGAATACAATTTTAAATATATACAATGTGTTGTTAATTATTAAGGTCAGTGAAATTCAAAGTCTTTCAATATTTGAACGACATAAAATTTTATAAGTTACATAACTAATGTAATTGTTGGGTTAATGGCCCAAGCCGAGGTCCGGCCCACTAAACCTTTCTTACCAAACGCACGTCCAGTTAGAACACAAGGCCAGCCCGCAGGCCCATGTTCCTTGAGGAGGGACGAACGTCTGGGGTTAGGACTTCAGGCCCAACGGCTCATCAAGACGAACGTCTATGCAGGGACAAGGAGCAGGACCACGGGCCACCAGGGATGACGACGAACGTCCCCATGGCAAGCCTGTAGTCATCAGGGGAAACCCAGTCCGCATGGTGAATATCCAAGGCCAGGAGACGAACAGCCGGTATCTCTTGAGGGTCACTTGGAGAGATCCAGCTTACTTCCCGGGCGGACGAACGTCGCCACTGATTAGGCGGGAAACCTAGATTCTGGCGGGAAGTGCATTAAATGCTGAAGATTTGGTAGTTGGGGCACCAGCGGTCCACAGGCTGCCACGTCAGTATAGCCACCTGCCCATTGGTGGGTATAAATAGAGACATTTATTTCATTGTAAAGGGTTGGCAACTTTCTATTCTTAGCATTCTAGCTATAGCATTCTTACTGGTAGCATCTACACTACCTCGTAAGACGAACGGCCGGCGTGCTTTTTTAGCAAGTAGATTGTACTTAGGGGAGTTATTACGAAGTTAATAATACCTATTTACATTGCCTGCTATTTCCTCTGTTTCCTGATCCATCTAATAGTTGTTGGGCTAGATATTCATACACTTACTCCACTCGAAATCTTTGGGCTTACGTGTTGGGCTTGAAGGTTGAAGGAATAAACTTCAACAGTAATATTAAGTTTTTAGTGACTAATTTGGGCGATGTACTTTATATCGTGTGAAGAATTTGTCACTTTTCAATTTATAATTTGTTGAACTTATTTCTTCTTCTTAATAGACTAAGTAAATGGATTTGAGGCTAGGTTAAGTTTTTAAGCAGATCAGGCCGAATAACAAACCTTTAACAAATTTTCAAAAAAAAAAAACAAACCTTTAACCGATACCAAGCTAGTCTCATGCCAAAAAATTATTAGAATATTAGACCGTGGATTCTACTTTCTATTTCGTAACATGTAGAAAGAATGACCGTAATAAAACATACGGAAGAGCGAAGACCTAAAGACAAATAAGGGTGCATTTCCGTTTTTTCCATAAATGCGACCTTTTCATTAATTTACAAAGTTAACCCTGCACCTATAATTACGAATCTTTGCTTTCCTTTCTCCCCAATTTCTTCCGTTTCTTTCCATCTTCGTACTGCTGCGGCCATGGTTCTCCCTACGACCTTTGTGCTTCTCCTTGCGATCTCCCCTTCACCTGCAGCCGCCGCCTGCCGTCTTCGTCGTACACCACACCGCCAAATCCTTTGCTCGCCGCCATCCCAGCTAATTTCTCTTTCTTCTCTTTCTGTCTCACCCCATGGATGGCGACGATTCTCGTGACTATGAGTGAAGGAGGCAAATCCAAGCGTGATACCGGACAGGCGAGGACGAGACGGTTGTTAGGGTTACAATGGCGAGCGGCGGTGACTGTGGCGGTCAAAGTCCTCACTGGCGACGTGATTGACCGACTGGGGGCGGCAGATGGGTGACGAGGATGGGACTGGGTAGGAGGTTGGGGCGGGGGAGGTGGCTGAGGGCTGAGGAGTCGAGTCAGGGTGAGGCAGCGATGGTTGGTGGTGGCCGGCGGCGGCTGGCAGTGGCCGGGATAGGTGGTCATTGGTGGTTACAGGCGGTGCTGGCTAACAATGGTCAGAATAATTGTAATTAGACGGTAACGGTGATTGAACGGGTGGGGTAACTGTAACTGGATGAATCGGATAACTGTAACTGAACGGGTTGGATAACTGTAACTGGCGGGTTAGATAACTGTACTGGACGGGTCGAGAAACTGTAGCTGGACAGGTCGGATAACTGTAATTGGACGGGTCGGGTAACTATAACTGGAAGGATTGGGTAACTGTAACTGGATGAGCCGGGTGGTCACTGGAATGATAGTAACTGAGACATTGGTCATCGGAGTATAATTGTTCAAACAAATTTTTGTGTAATAATTAAAATATATAAATATGTATCTTAAGAAATAACATTAAATTAAAAAAAATAGAGAATCCAATGTTCTTGCAAAAAAAAAATCAGAGATTGCAATGCTATTAAGCAATGAAGTGGTACTGGTACGCATTAGCAATCCGACGACGTGCAGACTTGCACTTTGATGGAAGTGATCAACTTTACGGGATGGAGCTTTTTAAATTATGATGAAGGGTACTTTAAACATGTAAGGATTTATTAGTCATATTTTTGGAAATTAAAAGAAGAGTTCACTTTTTTGTCTATTAGCTCTTTTTTAGTACTACGTATTATTCATGTCAAAACCCCTAACATGTAAGCATTGCATCTGCAAAAGTGCTTTGGGTAAAATGGAATGCTTGAAGCCTTGAATACGAGAAGATTGTCTTCTAAATATCCAAAGTGGTGCAAAACCACAAGATCTAGTGAAATTTTAAACGTCAGGTTGTGATGCCATGTCATTAAATGTAACTTAACTTCTAGCTAAGGTCATTCCAAAAATGGATTGGAACCCGAATTAGAATCTGTACAAGTTAGATGCATATATTCACTGTAAGTCATTGTTTCTCAATAGTCTTCTTTAAATATACTACGTATAATACAAGATGAATGCCTAGCTAGAATATAATTAGAGCTATCCTATCAAACTAAGAGACAATGCAAATAGAATAAATTCTCTTATTAAGGGTAAAACATAGCAGAATTTGTGTAATTTTCTTTTCATATTTATCCCACCCCGCAAAACTTTAAATACTCCGTATAATATAATTACACTTTATCCCCGTCCCACCCGAATTCGTGGTTCCACCTCTGAAAAATATATTATCCTAATATAAAATGAATACAGGAAATGGATATGTGCTATACATGTGAGGTTGTCTAGGGAAAATTGGAAGAACGTTGAGTTTTTAATATATTACTGCAAACTACGTACTCCGTATAATTTATCACAGACGGACAGACCTAGTATGTTGTATATCCAATAAAATCAGGCTTTGAGTTTTTAATTTTTCACAATCTCTTGTGAGCACAATGAAGACGTATAATTCAATGCTCTCAAAAGGTAGAAAGAAAAAACAATGGTTTGCATATTATATAAACTGGAAAAACAAGTGATTCCAATGCTGGTATCTATTGTTCTTGGTGAGGCAATAATTCCTTGGATACCTGATAGGCTGATACACTTGGATAGCTCTAAAACCCAAATTGGTCATATGCTACCAAGATTGGCCACAAACAAAACATCATTGATGAGATATGAGATGGGAATCCAATTTCATGAAAGCAATAGAGGATAGTGTGAGCTTTGGTTCTCTGTAACACTAATTAAAGGATACACGAACAACTAATTTTGGTAAGAATCGAGAGTTAATTCATATTTGTTTTCTGTAACAGAAAATTGTATATGTACGTTATGCAAATCATATCAGTTACCGATAATTTTGGTTCTTACAAATGGGGGATCAGAACTGTGTGTCTTTTGTGTCCAACCTAACCATTGGTCTCCATCTACAATGTATTAACTTTCAGAATGAACAAAAGAACAAAAACATTGTTATTCCACTTAAGAAGGTACAACAGTTAGAGAACAGCCAGATCTAAAGACCATAAAGCATTTGAAAGAGGACATCGCTTGGTGTCAGCTACCTGCTTCTTATGATTACATTTGGCCAAACAAACTATATTGTATACACTATACAACACTTTTATTCCACGAGGGAAATGGAGCACAAGCACCAGGTAAAGGGGGGAAGTCGTCAAATACTCAAGAAGCCGATTGGGAAAATGGGGGGGGCGATCCAATGGGGCCGCACTCTCTACTACTCATTCCAGTGAAACTGGGAATAGAATGAAGAGGTCAATCTGTCTCCAGTCTTGCAATATATTGATCATAGTAATTACCAGCTCTCTCCAAATCTCCAAGCTCAGTGTAACAGTCAGCAATTGCTCCATAGGCTTCAGTATTCCCAGAATCCTCTCCTTCTCTTGCAGAAATCTCCAGAACCAGAGAGTGGTATTTAATTGCATCCCGGTACTTACCTTGCCTTTGCAATGATGCCCCTGCAAACATACCAGGACTGAGCTCAAACCTTTCCTTATCTCATTTGTGTACGACTCATTTTGGACTTGATCGATAGCAATTAATTAGTAATAGACAAAAGCTAAAAATAACTATTATAATTCTATTCAATCCGGAATGAGTGGTAGACACATTAATGGTATAGGGTAAGCGGAATATAAGATTTCAATTCGGCCATTTTCTTCTGCGAGTAGTAGAAGTGAAGAAATCAAGAGAAGATAATAATAAAAGAGGAATGCTTTGACTTTTAAAGGTGATAATTTAGGGAGTGTTTGCGGTTAATTAAAAAAAGCGCTTTTCAGCTTTTGGCTTAAAAAAGTTGAAAAGAGTGTTTTCAAATGACAGCTTCTGCTTAAATTAATCACTTAAAAGTTAAAAGCTGGAAGCAGATAGAAGGGTGCTTTAAACTGCTTTTCACTTTTTCTATTACACAAAAAGCACTTATTTTACCAAACACTACCAACTTTTACTATTAATCACTTTTCTCAAAAGTACTTTAAAAAATCACTTTTTTAAAGTTGAAGCAATTGCAAACACTCCCTTAGTCAACTCTCGTTAGAATTTAACTTAGAGCATCTCCAATGCAACAATGTGCACGGTGCATATGTGTTATGAGAGACACATAAAATCCAATAACAATTCTCTCTCCTTTTCCCATTTTTTTAATATAATTTTGATAACTTTTTCTTAATAATGTCAACCACAATGTCTACATCTAGACACTATTCTTGACATTGTGAAGAAAAACTTACCAAAAACATATAAGACCGTTGAAATAAGGAGAAAGATATTATGCTTACTGATATTAGTGTCTGTATCTCTCTGTCACATTTGTACCGTGCACATTGTGGCATTGGAGAAGTTCTTAGAGTCAAATGAGATAAATATTAATGGAAGGGATGAGTAGCAAGAATAATTGAAACTCAAAGGGTAACTAATTTAGTTTTGAAAACACAAGGTTGGACAAAGGAGTATGGTTTAATCTCTAGGGTTTATAGTAATTTTCCTTTAATTGTTTCTAGAAAACAATGTTCATATAGCGAAATCAGATTTTTCCAAAACACATAAATGAACCGCTTAAATAGTTAACAATATTTACCATATTTCACAGTAAAAACCTTATCATACGAGTGAATGAATTTGACAAAAAACAATGAATGAAAATTATGTATTTCAACATTAAATATGAAATTTATATAAGATAAAAAATCAAACATTAAATTATAAATATATATTTTAAAATGATGAAAAAGTAGTTGGTTTGTCCAAGAAATAGCATATGTTTCATATACAATGGAAAGAGAGAGTGTAGTATAGTAGTGCTCATTTATAATTTTATTCTATGCACTTTTGCCATTGTCTAGAATAGATTTGGTATTCAATTAATTGACTCAGAAAGCACAATAAGCAAATGTAAGGACATTTTTCTAAAGTTTACCCCATATCATTTCCTTTTGTGATTCTCCTTCCATCTCCTTTTCAAGTCCAGAGATTTGCTCTCTATATATATTTTCAATCTCAACTATTATTATTTTTTTTCCTTCTAACAATATAACAAAGATATAATAAGAAGTAATTAATTTCTCTAAAATATACACAAGATATTATATTAGGAAGTGGTCCACCTCAGCTGGTCGCCGACTCACTCTCCTTTATGGGAGGTCCCGGGTTCAATACTCAATGGAGTGAGTTTGATCCCGGTTTACCCCAGCCCCCTCCCCCGACCCCCATGGGGTAAAAACAACACAAGATATTATATGTGCAAGACATACCTAATCCCCTGGCAGCCTTCTTTTCCTCTATTGGATCCTTTAAATTCTGTGCAGCCTCAAGTGCTATTTTGAACTCCGAAAAGGCCTTCTCAGGGGCTTGATTTCTGAGAAAGTTCTTTCCCTTTTTCAAATGAGAAATCAATTCTTGCTTCCTAGGATCTACAATCAGTTCACTTTCAGGTATCCTTCCACCAATGGGAGCATAAGTTAAGCTTGGGGCATAAGACTCGATTTTAGCTTGCCTTCTCAAAGCAGTGTTTATCTGCCTCAACTGCTCATTCACTCTCTCAAGTTCTCCTCGTCTCTGCCGAGCAAGAAGTCCTGCAAGTAATTTACATAAACAGTTTTTTTTGAAGATTAATTTACATAAACATAAATCATTTGTGATTGTGTAAAGTTTAATTTACTTACATCCTCCCACCTAACTTCCCGGTCAGTGTTGGGGGGCCCTTAGGGATGGGGTGTCATCTTTTTTTTTGTGTGTGTAAAGTTTAATCATTAAACTTTAAAGTCAGATGCTCTTTCTGTCACAGAGTTTTAGGCTATGTTTACTCTAAACCACTTATAAGCAACATCCGAAAAAACTTCTTTATGCCCAAATGAGATTGAAGTACTGAAGTAAGGCACACAACTATTAAATAGAGTCCAATAATTTTTTCCTTCATTGATTAATCGATTAGGAAAATATTAAATACAAACACATAAGGAAAAAAAGCAGAATGTACGAAACAATAGTAAAATATGAACCAAACGGTAAATACTTTCCTATAAACTCTTGAGTAAAGCCAATAATTACTGGACCCCACATCTAAATTCATGTAAATTTCATGTCTAGAACTCACATCGGTGCTAGATAAAATGTATTTTTATTTGCATTACACAGAGTAGATCTGGAACATCACCAAAAGCCATTATGATGTGCAAAAAGATGAAATGCATACCTCCAACAGTTGCCCCAATAAGGGAAACCAACAGAAGCAATGGCATATTGAAGTTGAAGCTAGATTTATCAGGCACACATGTTTCTGCTATGGCTTCTAATGGGGCTGATAATAGCAATGCATTAGCAGCAACAAGTGGCATGGTGGGAATCCTGCAAGCCACCATTGCCTGCTAAGGAAATGATAGTGGAAGCCACCACAAATGATGATTAGATAAGTGGAGAAGGATAAGTCCAATGCAAGACCACTGGATCAAACCCTATAAATTTGGACCAAGCATATTTTTATTTCATCCATTAACAATTAATCAACTGTAAGCATACAGTTTCCTTCTCATAATCCAAAAGTAAAAATGCTTCCTTCATGTCCTGCCCCTATACTCCTATAGTATGCTTCCCTTCTGCTTTCGGGTAGTGTTCACGAGGTTATCTTAATTTACTCAGATTTAAACACCTCAAATCCAAAATTTGCTAAACAAAACACAGCCAGAGATGATAAAAAACACTAAAACTTAGCTACTAATTACTGGATAAATCTGTGTTGAATATAATCAACAACACAAAATCAAAATTGAGCAAAAAATCGAGTCACCCATGGAAGGTCTAATCCCAATCTTAACATCCGCTTAGCTAACTGGATAAACAAGGCAGCTTTGCAACAAAAATCCTAAAGTAGGAATTCAAAAATGTACCTTGAAACGAACTCCCATCCATTGAGTGGATTTATTGGGGATTTTATTGGCAAACTTGTGGTCAACATCGGCTAGTATATGGCGCCTGAGTGGGCTATGCTCGAAGGGCTCTAGACTGGTCAAGAAAATGGGTTTAAGAATGTGGGTATTCAGAATGGTTAGTGAAGGAGGGCATGAATTCAATGGCAGAAAGCGTTGCATCATGATCATCGTCATCGTTGTCACCTGCTTAGCTGCTTGTCAGTACGCTATCTCGTTCCGGGCGTTAACGTCGCCTTTGGTTATGTAAAAAGAAAATCGTGAAACTTTAGCGTGGTTTCTATAAAATTATTATATTCAGGGAAAATGGGCAAATAAGCCCCCGAACTAATAAAAAAAATGCAAATAAGCCCTTTTGTAAGAGGTTCTGTCCGATCATCGTCATTTGGGGAGGTTTTCGGTGGAATTTTTTGATGAATTTTTTTGAGCATCTTCTTCATTAAGTCTAATTTAGCCATACCGAATTTCAGCTAAAAATTCAACCGGGAAGGCACTCAAATGATTTTCGGAAAAATATTGCGTTGTTTAACTTTGCAGTTATCTTCAAAAATTCATTTGACTATCTTCCCGGTTGAATTTTTAGCTGAAATTCAGTAGGACTAAACTAGACTTAATGAATAAGATGCTCAAAAATTTTCATCAAAAAATTCCACCGTGAACCTCCCCAAATGACGATGACCGGACGGAACCTCCCACAAAAGGGCTTATTTGCATTTTTTTATTAGTTCGAGGGCTTATTTGCCCCTTTTCCCTTATATTTATGGCTTATTTGTTGGGAAATAGACCTCAATAAGACCAAAACAAAGCCATTGCATCGTATGTAGCACTGATACGAGTACGCGGAAACGCAGAAACAATTACGAGGATACGAAAAAATAAAAAAAAAGTAGGATACAGATATGGTGCCATATTTATAAATATTAAAAGTTATGGGGTGTATTTGTAAATATTAAAAGTTACAGGGATGTATTTATAAATATAAAAAATACATTTTTTTTTGAAAAAATAGACATATACTACGTATTATCCTTTGACGTTTACTCATTCATGGTATTGAAGCATTTTACATTTTCAAGATACTTCGAAATAAGTTTATATTTTATCTCATAAACACTAGTGTATCTCGAAATATAAATATAGTTAATAAATCATTGACTTAAAATTAAAAATAAGTCAAACAACTACAATTTTAAAATTAAAAGTGTAAGTACTCCAAGTTCTAGAATAATGAAGATAGAAAATAATATTTTAAAAGTTTCAATACATATTTCCGTTGGAACTATTAGTTTCCATGGATAATTAGAATTAGGGATAGGAGAATGAGTGAATTATTAGAAATATGCCCATCATTTGTGTACCACATAAAAGCAAGGTAAAAATTATTTTTAGTTTTTCATTTTTTTTAAGAATTTTATTATGTAAATTTTGAGTGGTTTTTTAAAAAGTTTTTGGGAAGATTATTATTTTGAAAAAAGTTGATACGGGTATCCGTCAGGATACGAGTATCCGAAACTTTAAAATAATTACCAAAAAAATGGAAACTTTTAAAAATTGCAGATACGGCCCGGGAACGTACGGTACGGGTATCCTAGAGTATTGGATATGGGAACGTTTCCGATACGCCGATACGGCACCCTAGTGAAGTATTTGTGCTTCATAGATTGCATCTAAATAGGACCAGCGAGATTTTTAAACCTAAATAGGACTAAAAATTGTGTTGATGACAAATTTACCCTTTCATTAAAAAATCATCTGGGCACGCTATTTCTCCTCTTAGGGGGTGTTTGGATCTGATTCTCAAAACTGATTCTGCTCCTTCAGGGAGCAGAAGCAGAAGCTGGAGTGTTTGAGTGAAATTCCAGAAGCACTCCTGGAGCTCTAATTTACTCTCAGAATCAGTTTTTTGGAAACTGGGAGGTACCAGTTTCTGAAAACTGATTCTAATTCTGCTTTTGCTTTTTAAAAAGAATCAGAAGCAAAATCAATTTCAAACACCACCTTACGAACCAAACTTCTGAATGGGACAAGAATAAAGAGAGAGTCCTTTTCTGCATGTAAATACATACAAAAATGAAAGTTTTAGTAACAGGAAAATCCGTCGACTTTAAAAATCGTGAGGGTTTAAGTCCCTCTATCCCCAAAAACCTAGTAGATTCCTATCCAGAATTACAGAGGACAATAGAATCACATCTAGGTGTTGCTCATCATTTTAAAACCCCATCCAGAATTTTCACCCAATCACCCCCAATCCTCTACCGCCACCGCCACAGCATATCATCGCCGCCGTCGTACTTACCCCTGCTACCACTGCATCTCGTCTCCACGTCACCGCCGTACCTCGCCCCTTCTGCGCCTACCTCTGCACCCTGCCATTGCCGCTGTAATGGCCGTACCTCACAGCGGCCGTCATATGGGTTGTACCTCGCCGCCGCCGCACGTTTCTTCCCCCTAACGCTTCTGCGACATGTAAACAAATAGAAAACAGAGCTTCACCGTATCTCCTCCACCATGAGAAGACGAATCCCTCAAAATCCAAGCTAGAGGTTTTTTTTAACGAACGGGAAGGAGTAGTTTTTTTTTTTTTAGTTAAAGTTGAGTATTTTGATTAAATAAAGGGAAATTTATTATTAACCCCTTCTGGTTTGATCATAATTACTTGTACAACCTTGTAATTTTAGATTGCAGCTATATACACCTTGGACTTTGATTCTATTTGTTGTCTCCCCCTTCCATCAAATCCTATTAAGAAAGTAAACGACTCAATAACAAACATCGTTAAATAGACACTGTTTTGACCAATATACCCTTATTATTGATTATTTGTTCAACACACTCATTACTTTTTCTAATGCTACGTGTATAATTGTTGCTTGAACTCTTCACAACTCACTTGGTATAAGAGTAGGACGTAAGCCCCACAACGGAACAATGTTTTGAAAATAAACTTCCCTGAATTGAATTTTTGGAGTTGCACTAGAAGACAAACAGTCCGCTTTTTAGTTCTCAGATCAATGATGTCTCCACTAGCCCAACTAAGATATAGATCAAATGTTGATGTAGTTTTGAAGTTTATTTTCATCAGCTAGACTAAGTGGGGTTGAATACATGCCAAAATCAACTCCCAGACGATTGCACACCTCAACAAATATGCATCCTGTCAACTAAGGTTCTTCAATTTTCTTTTAATGAATGAGTGTGCGATGTTGAGGAAAAAAAGTAAAAAAGGAGAAAAGCATAGAAACTAAGCGTGCAGCAGTGATGCATGGGAAACGAACCCCTCAATTCATTGTTCGAATACTATTTGAAATAAACCTGAGAAGCTCTTGTTTTACACTCCGTAGTTTATATTAATAGAGGACATTTTGGGAAATTCCTCTAACAATTAACCATCAAATTAACTTAACGTTAACGGAAGGGGGAGATTCCATATATAATAAAAGCTCAGGGGGTTAATAATCCAGTTCTAAAAATACAAGGTTGATTTTATAATTATGACCAAACTTTAAGGGGCTAATCATTATTTTCCCTTAAATAAATATGGAGTATGGATGATTTGTACGAATGGGTAGCTAAAAGTAGAGTACTTTTTGCATTGAAAGGAGGAAATGATTATGTTGATAAGGATATTAATATATGATATTATGATTTTTGTATTAGATATATACTCGTAACAGATAAGAATGGCATAGACACTGATTCCATGCAGACATCTTCACATTCCTGAAAATTTTCAATTAACCATGTAATATTGATAATAATGCTGACAATGACATTAACATCGTTATTGACATTGTGCTCGAAATGGTCTATACAGAACAGGGACGGATCCAGGATTCTGAGTCAAGGGGGGCGAAATTTTTCGCTAGTGTAGGGGTGAATTTTTTTTGTTAGTGTAGCGGGGTGAAATTTTTCCCCTAGTGTAGCGGGGCGAAATTTTTTCATTGCTGTAAAGCTATGCAGCTATTGTTATTCAAAAAATTACATTAATACATGCACATCCCGAGCGGATTTAAATCTATTACATTCTAAGTTTAGACGATGACAAAAATATCAACCAATACATTTTTAATAACTTCTACATTGTTTAACCTCATGAATCGGTTATTGAATTGTAATTTTTGTCCACCAATGAGGGTGTTCGTGAGTCATGACTCATGAGAAGTTTTCTTAATATTACAATAGTAGTATACTAGTATGTATGAGATTGTTATTTTTAGAATAATATGCACCACATACACACAAACATATGGTGCATATTATATTTTAATATTTTTATTAATTCTATAATAATTTAAAGTTTATTATCCATGCAATAAATTATTTTTAGAAAGCAAGAAGTAAATGAATTATGTAATCTAATGTCTATAAATATTTATATTTTTGAATCATTTCACATGATCTAAAAGTTGTGTAATTAGTGTGTCTGGTATTTAATATTGTTTAATATATGTTTTACAAAATCTAGTACTTGTTATCTAATAAAGATAATTAAACATTACAAAACTATGAATTCTTATATAATAAGTATCCTAAATCTTAAATAACGAGTTACTCTATTGTTTATTTGTTTAAGTTATGTAAATTATTTTAGATGTTTCTTCTTTTAAATCTCCAATTAAGTATTACATTATGTAAGACTATATACTAATTTTGAAAATTAAAAAAGCTAAGGGGGGCGAATCTAATTAAATTATGAAAGTTTTATGAAAATATTACATATATGGTAAAAAAAATTGAATGTCCAAGGGGGGCGGTCGCCCCCCCCGCGCCCCCCCCCCTAAATCCATCCCTGATACAGAATGACATTATCACTAAATTTTTTAAATTGGCATTGTCAAATGTTAAATAACAATGACAATGACTTAACAATGTCAATGACATAACAATGGCAATGACATTATTACAATGTCAATGACATCTTCATTGAGATATATTATAATCACTGCACATTTATAAAATTATGACATTATCATGTCACTAAATAAATTAACAATGTGATTTAATATCACTAGCTAATACATTGTAATAAAAATGACAATGATACTTAAAATGTCAATGACAATATTGTGATAATATCAAACAAATAAAAATGACAATTTTTTTTATAGAGAAGTAATTTTGTCAATGTGTTATAACAATGTCATTATATAACAATATAATATACAATGTAGTTGTACGACAATGTAATATACAATGTCATTATATGACAATGTAATGATATCATTATTTAGAAAATTAATGTCATTGTGTGAATGAAAAATAAAAATGAAGTTAAAAAATAAAACTAAAAATGTGACATTGAGAGTTGACAATGTCAGAAAACTTTCAAAATGTCGTATAACTGTCACAATGTCAAATATTGACATTGTGATAATGACATTGTCAATGCTGATGTCAATGACAGTTGTAACGACTTATCTCAGAATTTTCTCTCTCATATGTAGTATTTTTAAATATAACAAGATAAGTTTCCTAATAATTCAACGGGAATTTTTTTCTTTCATATGTAGTCTTTTATGTATTAGAAGATAAATTTGCCAACAATTGAGTGGGGAAATTCTCATATAAGTAGTTCTTTAAGTATAAGATAACCCGACTAATAATCAAATCGTAGAGTTTTGTTTCTCATACGTAGTGCCTTTAGGTATAAGATAATCCGGCTAGCAACTGAGTGAAGAATTTTCTCTTATATTTAATTCTTTTTTGTATAAGACAAGCTAACAATTGAGCGGGAAGTTTTTTACTCCCATATGTAGTGCTTTTAGGTGTAACATAAGCCGACTAAGAGCATCTCTAATGCTACTCTTTTGACATAACAAAAATTTGTCACATCACTAATTTATAAAGGGGTGATTAATTTTTGTTCTCCAATGCATCGTTTTAGAAGTCCTTTTAATCTGATGTGGACTCGACTCTTTCAACACCTCTGTTAGGATTCAGAAAGTATGTATAACACTGTGAATGCTTAGAGCATCTCCAATGCTAAAATGTGTACGGTGCACATGTGGCATGAGTGATAGCCACATAAATATTAGCAAATAAATTATCTCTCTCCTTATTTGAATTATTTTATACAATTTTAGTAAGTTTTTCCCTGCAATGTCAACTGCAATGTCAACATTTAGACGGTCTCCTTGACATTGTGTAGAAAAACTTACTAAATCTGTATAAAATCATTAAAATAAGGAGAGAAAGAATTTATTTACTAATATTTATGTGGCTATCTCTCATGCCACGTGTGCACCGTGCACATTATACCATTGGAGATGCTCTTAATTCCATGAGAAAATAGTGCTCGGTCTCCGTAAAAAGTGGCGTCAATTGCTATTATTCATTATTTCATGGTCACCGTATTTTTATTGCTTTAATAGAATCAGTCTCCGTATTTTAAAAAATAATACGTGGAGCCTATAAATGAAGGAAGCACTATTTTATTATTATTAAAAAAACAATTTCATGCTCACGAGTCACCGATTTTCATTGATATTGTTACTAGATAAATCCAAAGAAGAGTACCGATGTTGCAAATTAATTATCGTTTCATGCTAGAAAAATGAACAATCAAATAAGGTGGAATTAAATACCTTGTGAAGAAAAATATCCAATTGGAAATACAGCTAACAATTTTTTTGGGTGATCTGCGCGTGCAGGATTTATTTTTTTATTTATATACGGAGTAATTTTTTGGCAACGATGATTTATATGTAGTGGTTTGTTTTGATAATAAATGACAAGCGAATAATATTTAATGTATAACATTATGCATTGGACATCTTTTGTTTATTTCTTTTAATGTGTATCTTATGTGGATAAACATTGCTTTATTTAAGTGACATTTGGCAAAATTTACCTTCATTCAAAAGAATAGCATTGGAGATGCTCTAACAATTGAACAAGAGAATTTTCTCTCTCATTTGTAGTGTTTTTAGATATAACAAGATAAGTTTGCTAATAATTAAATGGGAAAATTTTCTCTCTCATATATGTAGTCTCTTATGTATTAAATTAGAAGATAAACTTGCTAACAATTGAGCGAGAAAATTATCATATAAGTAGTTCTTTTAAGTATAAGATAAACCGGCGAACAATTAAGCAGTTGAGTTTTGTCTCTCATACATAATGCTTTTAGGTATAAATTAATCCGGCTAACAATTGAGTGGAAAATTTTCTCTCATATGTAATTCTTTTTTGTAAAAGACTAGCTAACAATTGAGCGGAAAAGTTTTTCTCCTACATGTAGTGTTTTTAGGTATAATCTGAGCCGATTAACAATTGAATTCAATATCTTCTGAGCCGAATAATATATGCACGAATTCAGAATTTCCTCAATTATTTAGTCTATTAGGGTAATTATGTGACAGGGATGGAAAAAACATCTTATTTTTGTAAATGGGATATGATATGATCCTACTAGGACTCTAGGAGAAGTAATACGTACTACGTAGTATTATTAATATCCTAATAATCACTTTGTTACTTTGTTGCTAAAAAAGGAGACACAAATACGAGTTGCGGTTATTGTGATATTGCGAACAAATAAAATAAAATCTTGCTGCCTTTAAACCCTACGCGCTCATCCTCTCTAAGAAAACCTCCTATGGCGACGACCCAAGCAGGAATACCAGCAGATATCATTCGCGCTGTACTCTTGAAACTGCCCGTGAAATCTCTGCTGAAGTTTGAGGGCGTATGTAAAGAGTGGCGCTCCTTCATACGCGATTCAGATTTCAAGCACTCCTATCGAGGGGAAGAGCGGTTGATTGCCCTAACGAAGTCGTCGGATTTTTCCCATCCGATAAAGATTAGCGTTGTTGATCCCTTAAGCCACTTTAATGTCCTTGAAGAGCTTGGCGAGTTCACAGAGCATTTGTCCTTTCTTATGGACAAGCGCTCTTATAGGCCTCATGTTTTGGGTTGCTGCAATGGCCTTGTGCTTCTCTCTTTTAGTTCTCATATTTTTCTGTGGAATCCATCAACCCGACATTGTTCAAAAGTGCTTCAGCTCTCGACTGATTCCGTAGGTGGCCCCAAGGGTTCAAGTTTTTTCTATGACTCTTCAACTGGAGATTACAATGCCATTGTATTACTTCCCCGTTTGGTTCTTGTTGCCAGCCTCAAACAGAAAGAGTGGCGAGAGGTGTTCCTTCCCAACAACCTGCGTTGTGGTAAACATTACCTTCAATTCCGCAATATATTTCATTTTGAAGCAATTGATCTAAATTGGGGGACATATCACTTTTCACGAAGGTATAAAATCCTTTATTTTGATTGGGAGAGTGAAAAGCTTAAACCTTTCCCTGCACCCAAAGTAAAGGATGGAGTAGGTCAAGAAATAAGTGCTTTTGGAGTTATAGAGGATTGTTTTTCTGTGGCTATCCATAGTAGGTGTGACAATAGGGCAGAAATACTTTCCATGAAGAAATATGGTGTAGCTGAATCCTGGGTTAGTATGTTTATCATCTCAGGGTCTGAACTCCCGATGCTTTATTATGACAGAGCCACCTTTTATTCTCTGAAAAACAAGGGTTTAATTTGCCATTGTTGGCTTCCGCCTACAATGTTTGTTCTTGATATGGAGACAAAAGAAAGAAAGACTGTACTAGGCGGCATAACAAGGGACTCCATTCCTTGGGGACTTGATACATGTCTGGTTGTTGAAAGTCTAGCCTCTCCCCATGAATTTGTTTGGATAGATGATCAACACAAACATTTCGCGAAGGAGATTCCATTAAGAGGAACTAGTCTTAATATTATAGGACGTGTGGTTTAGCAATATCAAATTTAATTTCTCTATTTTATAATGTTTTGATATATTTATTAAGAACTAATATTGACAATAAACTTATAGAAATACTGTATTGCATTTCATTTTGTTGAATTCTCCTCATGTTGCTCATATGGATGTATTTTGAAGTATTAATTTCACAGTACCTAAAGATTGCGCTAGACATCCTGGGCCAATGTTGGCTTGAGTTATTTGCCATATGTGAATTGCAAGTTGGGAACTTGCCAACTTGGGATCACATTGCTCATATTAGTCCTTATTGAGTTTACATAGCTAAATGCAGGCAGTGCTTGTCTAGTTTGATTTGCCCATCTATGATGTAAGGTTGCTTTTAACTATGGTTGTTTGCATCTACCACAATTTTAGTTAAAAACCAATATGATAGAAACTTCGTCTTATTCAAGTCCAAGTTCTGATAAAACTGGCCCGATAAGGTTTTACAACATTTACGTTCAAGAACAATATCCAAGCCTTAATCTCAAAAAATTTTGGGGTGGACTAAAAATCCATCTTTCTTGCATTTGCCTGATTCTTGATGTTTGACTTTTTATGAAGCAAAAGGACACAAATTTGTACTTTTTTGTGACATTAGTTTTTCATATCCATCCCTCTATCTTAAAGAAGCCAAACAGTTTTAGAGTTTCTCTATGTGTCACCCCGTACCCCCCTTTACAAGAGCAGCGGTGTGGTTAGACCTTTTATTAAAGTAAGAAGGTAAAGGTATATGGTCATATATGGAGCTGGGTTTTACAGTCTCAGACTCTTAGATTAAGTTGTTAAGATATTGATAGAATATAGTTAATATTAGAGGTAACAGGTAGTGCAATACGAATGGAACTTGTCTATTTGGGTTTGTTCAACTACAACGGAAGATTGCTTTTTAATCTGGTAGATTGCATCTTATAGTTACTTTAGTTCATACTACGGTGTATTTCATTTGTCCTTCTCATCTTTGTGCATTTACATCTAGCCACAAAATTAGATTCTTTTGTGACTATCTCGAATCCTTGGTGTTTTAGCTCAGATGATTCAAAAAACGTGAATTTGTATTGTTTATACCCTCTCTATTGTAAATATGACAAACCGGTTCACCTTTCTTAAGGAATGTTTGTGATTGCTTCTACTTTTAAAAATTGATTTTCAATGTGATTTTGAAAAAATGCTTAATAGTAAAAATTAGTTGTGTTTGAGAATTAAAATGTTTCAAAAAAAGTAAAAGTTGATAGTGTTTTATAAAATAAATACTTTTTGTATAATAGAAAAATTGAAAAACAATTTAATGCACCGCTCCACTTGCTTTTAGCTTTGGAATACACTCCCCTACCCCTTCATAAATCCCTCGCACCAAGCCGCGGCCAGGGGCTCAATGATTTTAGGCGCACCAAACCGCAAATCCATCGCACCAAGCAGCGGCCACTGTAGCCAAACAGAAATCAGTGCAAGAGAGGGAGGGCGACGACGACGAGCCCGGAGCAGAGACGTGGAGGCGGATGGCGGCCGCCAGAGGCGTCGGTTTCCGACTGTAAGGTCGATGATGGAGGAGCGATGGAGTAGACTGTGAGGCTGTGATCGATATGCGGAAGAAGTGTAGATATTTGAAAATGATCATATTTTAGTCTTGTAAAACCTTACAGGTAATATTTGTGTCATTCTTTCAAATATTAAATTAGTTAAACTAAAGATTAGTCATAAATTTGGAAAAAGGAAAAATAATCCTTTTTTTATTTTCCAAACCTATAGCTAATAAATACGTAGTATGTGCTTTTTTAATGGATTTTTCTTAACATATGCCTAAATCCCGAGTTTTTTTTCGAATTAAAGTATTGAGTGTTCAGTGTGCCTCATTGCTGAATCAACCGACACCCGCAGGTTACCAGATTCCACATCCATGATATATTATTTTGGGAAAACTGTCAAATAGGTTCTCGAACTTTCATAAAAAAGTCAATTAAGTCCTTCTATAGGAGACTTTGTCCGGTCTTCGCGATTTGGGGCGGTTCCCGGTGTAATTTTTTGATGAATTTTTTTTAGCATCTTATTTATCAAGTCTAGTTTACTCATACCAAATTTCAGCTAAAAATTTAATCGGGAGCGCATTCAAATTAATTCGAGAACGCAAAACTGCGCAGTTATCTTCAAGAATTATTTTGAATGTGTTCCCGATTGAATTTTTAGCTGCAATTTGGTATGAATAAACTAGACTTGGTGAATAAGATGCTCAAAAAATTTCATCAAAAAATTCCACCGGGAACTGCCCCAAATCGTGACGGCCGGACAGAACCTCCTATAGAAGGACTTAATTGACCTTTTTATGAAAGTTCGAGAACCTATTTGACAGTTTTCCCTATTATTTTTGGGCTAGCTATTAATAATATGTAATACTCGCTTCGCACTTAAAACTTTGTTATTTTTCATTTTTGGGATGTCCCAATTTTTTTTGTTATTCCCCTTTTTGTTATTCCCCATTTAATCAACTTTTAATCAACTAAGTTGTAGTTTCTATTAGTTCTCTCTCCTCTACACAAACTTAAACCACACACATTAACTTTATAACTCCCAGTATCGATCAAACTTCACAAAGTTTTAAAGAACGGAGGAAGTAATATTTTATACATATAATAACTTAAATAAGACGACTAAATTGTAGATAAAGTTTACATATAATACCACGAGTGGTTTCTTTGTAAGGCAAGCCTTATTCACTCCTGTTTGATAAAATTTTATATGTTTAATAAGATCAGAAGAGTCTGTTTTTGAAATAAAACATGCGTAGTAATTATTTTTAGGCTTTAATCCTAATTATTGCGAATATTAAACGGGCTGTTTTAGATTTATTTGTGGGAACATTTTTTTAAACAATGAATATTTGTTGAGGATATTTTTAAATTGATTGATTTTTTTATCAAGTCCGATCTAATTTGATCTGATTTGTGGCTGAAAGTAATAGTAAAAACATGTTGATGTATTTGTCATCTATGTTAAGGCTCTGTGAATTTTTATTCATAACATTTGTTAAAGAAATAATGACAAAAATAAGACTAATTACTCATGAATGGACCAAAATTGCCCTCAGCGTGAACAATCGGATCTCCTTACTAATCAAATATGCCGCACCGCCACCACTTGTAAGTTGTAACACTTGAGATGAGTTTAAAGGGATTTATAGTACTACTCACACTAACAAAGTGTAGTATCTCCTTTTAAGGGAGCTGATCACTTAAGGACTCTAAGTTGAGTGTATTTGTATGGGGATAATCTTGGGATGAGTGACCTCTTGTGACGTCAATATAGAAATCCGGAGAGCGTGAGGTTTAGATACCTAGGACTCCATGGGGTCGGGGTGTTATACCACTCATATGCGACAATCGTATCTTCCAGCCGATGCCTTCTTGACTCGTCTCCTTTGTTGGTCGCCTTCACCACTTACTTCTGCTGAAAAATCGCATCCGCCTATTTTAAATTGCCCCCCCGGCCCTACTAACGCACACTAAACGACGTCTCCTCCTCCAGGTTGTCACATACTGTAACAGCCTGCCTTGTAGGGCCCGCGGTAGTTACTCCTGAATGCCATCCTGACCAAGTATTGTCCTCACAAATCAACACAAGTCTTTAATGTGCGCACTTTGTTCTCACTCGTATGCACCCTAAGAAACTTCTCACGAGGTCACTCATCTCATGACTACCCCCGACTCCCGTGCAAACACGCTTAACTTGGAGTTATTAGGTGATAAGGACCTTAAAAGAAGATGCACCTTATTGGTATGAGCAATACTATAAATCCATTTAATTTAATTTCAAGTATTACAACATCCTCGTTGCGCCCATAAACCAACCTCAACTAGTGGACTAAGGTTGGATTTCACCGTGTCCAAATGGACTACCACCATCCCGGGGAAATGACGTATGGGGTGAAGCCCAACTTGAAGGCGGAAGTCCATCGGGTCAGGAATCAAAGTTGGGATTAGGGCCCTATTTGGTCCTGTGAGCTTCTGCCGCCGTAGTCGAATTAGGGTTAAATCAAGTTTGTGACGAGGAACATCGCCTGGAGAGCCAGCCTCCATAGACCGGAGGAACATCACCAGACTTAGTACCATCCGAGTAAGTACGAGAGGAGGAGGCATCGTCAGAAGCATGGCCGGAGTTTTCCGCACTCTCTACAACGTCGTCTTGGACTTTCTCATGAGGGACCACCTCAGGAACAGAAGGATCGGAGGGGGATGGTTGACGCGACATATGACCGAACAAGAGGGGAGAAGAAGCCAAGGAGCGAAGGTTACCTAAACACTACCAACAACTAAGCTTTAGAGAGAAGGCAGAGTTGCGGCACGAAGGATGTAAATTTTGGAAACCCAGAACCAAGGAACGAAGGCCTTATTTATAAACTGACACGCCGGTTCGTCAACCAATCAGGAGAGGACACGTCGCTAAGAATGATTACAGGGACACGTGTCACGCGGAGAAACACCAACAAGTAATCATAACGATTATCGAGAAATTGAAACGGCAGCCGCAAAAACCGTCAAAATTATGCCTCGGGAACTGGCGAAATCCCGTCTGCTACATACCTGAGCAGTGTTCGGGCAATATTCTTCTTCCCTTATGCACTCACTACCGTTAGAGACATAGGAAGTGGGGAACTCGTGTTGGGGTATTGGGCCCAAGCCCAATACACCCGGACCAAAGCATAAAAAAGTCCCAGGGAAAACAAGAAGCCCAACGCAATCAGAAAGGTCCAAGACGTTCCGAACGGGGATACCTGAACAACATTTTGGTAGATTTGTTCACTCGAGACAATCAAACAAAGTACTGGCATCCAAACACCCGTAAAGGGGTCCCGCACGCCAAACGCACTACCCGGACGGGTAGTCAGCAAGTGGGAACCACATTTAATGCTGAATTATGGCAATAGCAAGTAGAGACATGGGTGCATTTCGTGGCAGAGGTAATAGCCTACAGGATTCGGCCACGTGTCCATCTCACCTATCCCCTCTTAGTATAAATACCTGCATTGAATACATTGTAAAGGGTTAGCAATTTCATACTCAGAGCTTAGCAATAGAATCAGATCTCTCATTCTTGTATTTGAACTTATACCGACTACCGTTAGGGCAATTTCTTTGTAATCGCAGAATAACGTAATACAAGTTAGCTTCTGAGTTAAATCTTAATTCAT